CACTTTGGGAGGCCAAGGCGGGTGGATCACGAGGTCAGGAGTTCGAGACCAGCCTGGCCAACATGGTGAAACCCCATCTCTTCTAAAAATACATAAAAAAAAATTAGCTGGCTGTGGTGGCACACACCTGTACAGTAGTCCCAGCTGCTTGGGAGGCTGAGGCAGGAGAATCGCTCGAACCTAGGAGGCAGAGGTTGCAGTGAGCCGAGACCACGTCATTGCAGTCCAGCCTAAGTGACAGTGAGACACCTTCTCAAAAAAAAAAAAGTTAGCTTGGTGCGGCAGCATGCACCTGTAGTCCCAGCTACTCGGAAGGCTGAGGCGAGAGGATCACCTGAGCCTGGAAGGTGGAGGTTGCTGTTAGCTGAGGTAACTTTATCGCCCTCCTGCCTGAGCAATGGAATGAGACTCTATCTCAAAAAAAGAAAAGAAAAAGTGGACTAGGCCAGGTGCAGTGGCTCAGGCCTATAATATCCCCGCATGTTGGGAAGCTGAGGTAGGAAGATCACTTGAGTCCCGGAGTTTGAGACCAGCCTGGGAAACATAGACTTCAGAAGGCTGCAGTGAGCCGTGATGACACCATTGCACTGCAATCTGGGTGACAGAGCAAGACCTTGTCTCAAATAAATAATAAAAGAATAAGCTTGGCCGCTTGTGCACTGTTGGTGGGAATGTAAAATGGTGCAGATCACCATGGAGACCAATGTGACAGTTCCTCAGAAAACTAAAAATAGAATTCATATGATCCAGCAATTCCACTTCTGAGTATATACCCAAAAGAATTGAAATCAGGAACTCCAGATATGTATACCCTTACATTCATAGCAGTACTATTCATAATAGCCAAAAGGTAGATGTGGCCCAGGGACCATCAACAGACACATGAGGCTGGGGCACCAGTGCTCTCATTCCTGCAGCCTCAGCACTTGGGAGGCTCAGGCAGGAGAATCACTTGAGCCCAGGAGTTCAAGACCAGCCTGGGCAGCATAGTGAGACTGCGTCTCTACTTAAAAAACAACAATGAAAACCAGATGGATGAATGAATGAACAAAATGTGGTCTACCCAGACACCCAGACAATGGAATATGATTCAGCCATGAAAAGGAAAGAAATTCTGACATGTGCTCCAACAGGAATGACCCTTGAGGACATTTTGCTCAGTGAAGTGAGCCAGTCACAGAAAGGCAAATGCTGTAGGATTTCACTTTTTTTTGAGACAG